GTTAAGCTACCTGTACATAGACTAAGCTCTCACACCTTTTTAGCCTGGCAACAATTGTTATATTCGCTTGACAGAAAATTCTTGTCGGAAAACCCACATGTACGCGGTTTGCAGGGCGGAACCGGCGTTGACAATATTTCCGCAAACTACACACAAAACCGCGCACACACACACACGTGCGTTGTGGCTAGTTAAGCTATGGCCACGCCCACACTTAGACAGCGACACGCCTGCCCCCTTGGCTGGCGCAATGTCACCTGTTCATCAGCATATCATGCCATTGCCTTGGACTTGTTTTGTTTCTTTTGTTGTTTGGTTCCATTAAAAATTGATCACGTGGTAATTGCTTTGCTCTGTGTGTGTGTGTGTGAGTGTGTGTGCTTGTGTGTGTGTGTGTGTGCTTCGGGCCAAACAACTTTGTTGCCGGCCCGTGTGTTGTGACATTGATAGCAGCGCCCAAACTGTCCCAGATATGTCAATGCCAAGGCTAACAATAGGAAGGAAAAAGCTATCAAGAGGGCTTTTACTTGGAAGTGCTCGACTTAGAGATATCCTAGCTAACTCCAGTATCTACGAAGCGAATTTTATGAAATTTTCGGGGCGTAATTATGATCTCCAAATACAAATACATACCAAAGCCCAAGACAATCCCCACACAAGTTCTTATCTTACTATTTAATGGGGAAACGAGGCGACGAATCCAAAAAGTGATATATTCAGGATCTGTATTTTTCACAGAAGAGTCTATATACTAACTTTAGAGTTTCAAGCTCTTATAATCCCCGAGATATGCTCAAAAGAACAGAATATTGATATCGATTTTAATCGATCTTGTGGCGAGTTATCGAGCTTTTGATAAAAGCTTTCCTCTTTCGGGCACAGCTTTTAATATATCTGTCTTAAAGCTCTGCTAGTCTCTAGAATTGATGCACATCGGAAAATAAATATTTTCTTTACAGTCGAAGAGTCCTTCTCCTTCTCCTGCTGCCTGTTACATACCTTAATGCGAGACCATTATACTCTCCTTGCCCATTTTCACAGGGCATCAAGGCCTGGCTCGCCCTCGTTAAAAACTAATGACATTCAAAATGACCCAAAAGCAATACTTCATTTATTATTTATGAGAAAATATTAATTTTATCCCAATCAATAAATTGTATTTGTTGTAACGGTTCAGTCAAGGCTTTCCCTTAACATTAACAGTTATGTGAACAGCTGTTTTACCCAACGGGCTGACTGATTGATTGATTGACTGATTGAATTAGATGTAAGTTTGTTCATTTTTTCACTTTCGATAAATTGTGGAAATTGGGACTCAAAGTTTGTAAGAATAAAGTTGACTTGTTGCTCATCATACGACCGGAAAGAAGTAGAAAGGGAATTCGTTTAAAATTTCATAAAAATACTAAAAATACTACTAGTATTTTAGTTGGTACTTTTCTTAGTATTTTGTCTAATATTTTACTAAATAATTTACTTATTATTTTAGTTAGTTCTTAATAAATATACTTAATACTTAACTGTCATTTTGTTATTTTTATTAATTCAATTCCTAGACAAAACGCACTGAAGACTTGTTTCACACTTTTCGAAAAAATTCACCCGACTTTGTGGAAAACGGGGCATCAAGTTTGTAAACGGAAAGTTCATTTATGATCAGGATCATGCGACAGGAAAAAGGTAAGTAAAATGCTTCAAAATATTAAACAAATTTCTAGAATAGTACTAGTATTTTAGTTGGTATTTTCGTTTGTATTTCCGTTGTATTTTCACTGGTATTTTTCTCAGTTATTTTGTTAGTACGTTCATAAGTATTTTTATACATTTTAAAGCTGGTATTTTTCTTAGTATTTGGTATTTTTTGGTATTTCCTATATTTGATCTTTTTATTTTATCTGGAATTTTCGTTAGTACTTTTATTAGTATTTTTGTTAGTATTTTATCTGGTATTTTCTAAGTATTTTTCTTGTTTGATTGTTTCGGCTTGATTCAAAAGAACCGGAAATATTTCTTAATGCTATTATATGGGTTTCAAGGTGAACTTTTGCGTCTCTTCCGCAAGATTCAGATTAAATACTGCGTAGCTATATTTATTATTCAATTAGATTGAATAGTTAGTTCTGCGGTTCAGTTGCTGAACCAAGCGGAACTTTTAATTTAAATCGGACTCTGGTTGCAAAGATAACGCACTCTAATGCCTAAATTGGCATTTAAATGGCTCGAGAGCTGGCATTTAATTTGCCAGCCCCCATATTTATGAATACGAGCATTATTTATAGCGCCGTTAATTGTTGCCAGCTGAAAGGCCACGATTTCGCGATACATGTGTCGACGGGGCGAGGCCCCTTCTAAATACAAATCTCAGCTCCAATAATTCAACGCCTTTTGATGCTAAGCACGTTTCGCAATTGCAAAAGTACTTTGAGCTAAAAAAAAACTGTTCGCCAAAATATGTTTCGCAGAAATTACGGAAAAAGTGCTCAAAAACCCATAAAACTAATAAAAATTGGGCTGCTACCGACGGCAAATAGTTTTTTTAGCTTGTCGTCAATTAGTTGAAAATTATTTTTTATTTTAATTTGAATTTTTATATTGTGTGCCAGCTTTATGCATTCTGTTTGAGTTTATTAAAAACAAAATACATATTTTACAATTTAATTAACAATTTGCTAAGTTTATTTCTATTTTTTTTACTATGATTTTTCTTATATATTTTGATTTATTATTGATTTATTTCTTTGCGGATAATAATAATAATAATTATAATGATAATGATAATGATAATGATAATGATAATGATAATGATAATGATAATGATAATGATAATGATAATGATAATGATAATGATAATGATAATGATAATGATAATGATATGATAATGATAATGATAATGATAATGATAATGATAATGATAATGATAATGATAATGATAATGATAATGATAATGATAATGATAATGATAATGATAATGATAATGATAATGATAATGATAATGATAATGATAATGATAATGATAATGATAATGATAATGATAATGATAATGATAATGATAATGATAATGATAATGATAATGATAATGATAATGATAATGATAATGATAATGATAATGATAATGATAATGATAATGATAATGATAATGATAATGATAATGATAATGATAATGATAATGATAATGATAATGATAATGATAATGATAATGATAATGATAATGATAATGATAATGATAATGATAATGATAATGATAATGATAATGATAATGATAATGATAATGATAATGATAATGATAATGATAATGATAATGATAATGATAATGATAATGATAATGATAATAATGATAATGATAATAATAATGAATAATGATAATGAAATAATAATAATAATGAAAAGAATATCCTCTCCCTGGCTCCTGCTCCCTGCTCCTGCTCCTGCTCCTGCTCCTGCTCCTGCTCCTGCCTCCTGCTACTGCTCGCCTGCTCCTGCTCCTTGCCCCCCCTCCTCCTCCTGCCGCCTCCTCCTCCTCCTCTGCCTCTGCCTCCTCCTCCCTGCCCCCCGCCGCTTTGCTTGACCTGCCTACTTCCCGCCGCTCCCCGCCGTCCCGCCTTGGTCAGCAGCCAAATGAAAAGGTCCTGATGCCGAATCAACAGCTGGGGCGGACCCAAAGCCATTAGGCCCAATTAAATGGTCGGGCTATTTAATTGAAAAACTTTGCCAGAAGACAAATAAAAGCGGACGCACTCTGGGCGTATACGTAATTTAATCGGTGGCCCATTCAAACTTACCGACTGCGACGATGTCTGGCATGGAAATGCAGCCAACGCGTCAGTTCCCGCAGCTTGGAGTTGCGATCCGCCTCCTCATCGTCCTGGTTGGCCGCCGTCTCCTCCGGATGCAAATGATAGGGATCATGCGTGTGGTCGGTTATCATAAATGTGGGCCTCGTGTAGGCGTAGGTAGGCGTGGACATTTTTTGCGTTTTATTTGTGTTTGATTCACGCAATTCTCACTGGGCAGCATTTGCCGCGCTTTGTTTGTCTGGCATTTTCCGCTTTTTTTTTGGGGGTATTTAATTTTCCAAAAGAAAATTTAATTACAATTCGTTGGCCATTTGGCGCTGGGCTTGCCTTTTGTGTAGCATTAAACCGCGAGCGAGCTCTGTTTTCCGTTCACTGAAATTGATTTCGAGTGAAAAACCAGAATGTGACAGTTTTGTTTTTAGGGAAAATTGTTTTGTGCGTGGAAAGCGTGGAAGGCGAACCAGCTTTTCTTTGCGTTCTTTCATTTCCCAGTTTCTTTTTCCCTCTATGGCAATTCTCTTGGCACCTGGCACGTTAATCTCTGCCCTGGGACGCTATTCGCTTTCACTTGACAGCCGAATTGATTCGTTTTTCCATTTCCCCATTTCCCAATTTCCCAGACCCAACAAATTGCCAACAAGTTCAAGCATGACAGTCTTATGCAACTGCTCCGCCACGGTCGCATTGTGCGTAATAATTATCTTGAAGGCTGTTTAAATAATTATATTTTAATTGTTGTCTCAGCTTTGCCGTTTTTTTCGTTATAATTCCCAACAGGTTGAAGCATTGTATAAAATAATTAAATATGCATTACGTCGTTCGAAATATGTTTACAAATTATGATGAGGTATAACAAGGAGACTATAAATCAAAGGTTTCTAAAGTATACATTGATTCTAGCATCAGCTTTGCTTCTCAACGTTGTAATTCCCAACAAGTTTAGTCTCATATATTTTGTTTTTCCTGTGGGAGGCATGAAAAATGGGCGAAAGGGTTTGGATTTGCCTTTAATATTATTTCACACACATTTTCAAAGAAATTTTCACCTAGAGTTTCACCTAGAGGTGAAATTGTTCCACCTTGCTGGGTGAAAGCTAAGGTGGAAAATGGGTGGAAATTAAAATTTGATGAAAACAATTGGACTTGGCAAAGAAAGACGAGTTTTAAATGAAAAGTCTTAATGATAGAATACTTTTATTTTCAAACTGAAACACTTTGGTTTGTGAATTTTCTCTAAATAGAGTTTACGAAAAAGACATCGAGAGATTACGAATACAAGAAAAGCCTTAAATTGAATTGATTTTATGCAATCGAGTAAAGCATGTCTTAAAGCTAGTATAAACAAATTCAGAACAGATTCAGATTTGAATATAACTGAGGCCAGGCTTAAATCTTGAATAGATTTGAATATATGTAGTTAATGCCAGCTGAAGACGACGTGGGCCAGCAGCAGGTAGATGGTCATGAGTGCGATCTGGCCCAGCATCATGGGCAGCACGGTCTTCAGATACCGTGTAAAGGACAATTTGTAGCCGTGCTGTTCGGCTATGCCCGCCGCAATGACGTTCGCGGAGGCGCCGTAGAGGGTGCCATTGCCGCCGAGGGAGGCGCCCAGGGTCAGGGCCCAGATGAGCGGCTGCATGGGCAGGCCCAGGGATGATTTGGCCACCAGCGAGGTGACCAGCTTGACCATCATCGCGGCAACTGGTATGCTGTCCAGCACAGCGGAGGCCAGCGCCGTGATCCACAGTATCATGGCCAGAGCGACGGCCAGTCTGTGGCCCGGCTGCACGGCCAGGATGACGTGCTCCGTCAGCTCGGCTATGCTGACGAGCAGCCCCAGACGCTCCACGCACTCCATCATCACGAACATGGCGCCAAAGAAGAGCAAAGTTGTCCATTCGATGCGATGTATCAGATGCTCCATATCATCGCGATCTAGCACAATCAGCAGCAGGATCACGCCCAGCAAAGCCACCCAGCCCAGGGGCAGGGTGCGCCAGTGGGGCACCGATTGCACCAGAAAACAGACGATCACGAAGAGCAGGGCGCCAGTCGATTGCAGCAACAGTTTCTTATTCTTGATCGGGTACTGAAAATATTAAATGTAAGATTGATAGAGTGATTGATTGATTGATTGACTGATTGATTGAAGAATTGCCTGAATACAGCCCAAACAGAGCTAGGCTGAGTTTTCCGCCGTATTAACGTTATATAATATAAGTTATCTTTCTGATGGGGTTATTTTCACCCACACGAGTGGAAAATTGGTGGAAAACAGTTTTCGTATATTTTTAACAGATTAACTTGATTGGGCAAATTCCACCCGAAAGAGTGGAAAATAGGTGGAAAACAGTTTTTTGCAAATTTTGTTATGTTCTCGCGACTGATTTGAGGGTAATTGAGAAAATTCCACGCCCACAAGTGGAAACAAGTAAGAGGTTCTAGTCGGGAGCTCCCGACTAGGGGACACCCTGAACCCTCTTCTTCCAACATCAAATGCATATATATATTCTATTTTAGAACCTATATGTCAAGTTTGGTGACTCTAGCTCTGATTATTTACCAAAAAACAAAAAACAGGATATCGATATCGATTTTTATCGATTGCTTGGAAACGGAGTAAGTTATCGATTATCGGAAACAAAATGCTTCCTTCTGCCTGTTATATACATTTGATTTCGCACAAATACAATATACCCTTATACCCATTTTTAATGGGTTCAGGGTATAAAAAGCCAAACTTCGTGAAAATCGGATGAGATTTGGCCGAGATATGGGGGTGGAAATGTTGACCCATGTCTATATACGAATCTTGGGGTAAGATTTGGACATGATTTTCGACCAAAAAATCGGTGTCGAGATTTGAATGCCACATTATTCTAGAGGGAAAACCATGAAGAAAAAGCCAAACTTCGTGAAAATCGGATGAGATTTGGCCGAGATATGGGGGTGGTAAATTTTGACCCATGTCTATATACGAATCTTGGGGTAAGATTTGGACATGATTTTCGACCAAAAAATCGGTGTCGAGATTTGAATGCCACATTATTCTAGAGGGAAAACCATGAAGAAAAAGCCAAACTTCGTGAAAATCGGATGAGATTTGGCCGAGATATGGGGGTGGTAAATGTTGACCCATGTCTATATACGAATCTTGGGGTAAGATTTGGACATGATTTTCGACCAAAAAATCGGTGTCGAGATTTGAATGCCACATTATTCTAGAGGGAAAACCATGAAGAAAAAGCCAAACTTCGTGAAAATCGGATGAGATTTGACCGAGATATGGGGGTGGTAAATTTTGACCCATGTCTATATACGAATCTTGGGGTAAGACTTGGACATGATTTTCGACCAAAAAATCGGTGTCGAGATTTGAATGCCACATTATTCTAGAGGGAAAACCATGAAGAAAAAGCCAAAGTTCGTGAAAATCGGATGAGATTTGGCCGAGATATGGGGGTGGTAAATGTTGACCCATGTCTATATACGAATCTTGGGGTAAGATTTGGACATGATTTTCGACCAAAAAATCGGTGTCGAGATTTGAATGCCACATTATTCTAGAGGGAAAACCATGAAGAAAAAGCCAAACTTCGTGAAAATCGGATGAGATTTGGCCGAGATATGGGGGTGGTAAATGTTGACCCATGTCTATATACGAATCTTGGGGTAAGATTTGGACATGATTTTCGACCAAAAAATCGGTGTCGAGATTTGAATGCCACATTATTCTAGAGGGAAAACCATGAAGAAAAAGCCAAACTTCGTGAAAATCGGATGAGATTTGGCCGAGATATGGGGGTGGTAAATGTTGACCCATGTCTATATACGAATCTTGGGGTAAGATTTGGACATGATTTTCGACCAAAAAATCGGTGTCGAGATTTGAATGCCACATTATTCTAGAGGGAAAACCACGAAGAAAAAGCCAAACTTCGTGAAAATCGGATGAGATTTGGCCGAGATATGGGGGTGGTAAATTTTGACCCATGTCTATATACGAATCTTGGGGTAAGATTTGGACATGATTTTCGACCAAAAAATTGGTGTCGAGATTTGAATGCCACATTATTCTAGAGGGAAAACCACGAAGAAAAAGCCAAATTTCGTGAAAATCGGATGAGATTTGGCCGAGATATGGGGGTGGTAAATGTTGACCCATGTCTATATACGAATCTTGGGGTAAGATTTGGACATGATTTTCGACCAAAAAATCGGTGTCGAGATTTGAATGCCACATTATTCTAGAGGGAAAACCATGAAGAAAAAGCCAAACTTCGTGAAAATCGGATGAGATTTGGCCGAGATATGGGGGTGGTAAATGTTGACCCATGTCTATATACGAATCTTGGGGTAAGATTTGGACATGATTTTCGACCAAAAAATCGGTGTCGAGATTTGAATGCCACATTATTCTAGAGGGAAAACCATGAAGAAGAAGCCAAACTTCGTGAAAATCGGATGAGATTTGGCCGAGATATGGGGGTGGTAAATGTTGACCCATGTCTATATACGAATCTTGGGGTAAGATTTGGACATGATTTTCGACCAAAAAATCGGTGTCGAGATTTGAATGCCACATTATTCTAGAGGGAAAACCATGAAGAAAGAGCCAAACTTCGTGAAAATCGGATGAGATTTGACCGAGATATGGGGGTGGTAAATTTTGATCCATGTCTATATACGAATCTTGGGGTAAGATTTGGACATGATTTTCGACCAAAAAATCGGTGTCGAGATTTGAATGCCACATTATTCTAGAGGGAAAACCATGAAGAAAAAGCCAAACTTCGTGAAAATCGGATGAGATTTGACCGAGATATGGGGGTGGTAAATTTTGACCCATGTCTATATACGAATCTTGGGGTAAGATTTGGACATGATTTTCGACCAAAAAACCGGTGTCGAGATTTGAATGCCACATTATTCTAGAGGGAAAACCACGAAGAAAAAGCCAAATTTCGTGAAAATCGGATGAGATTTGGCCGAGATATGGGGGTGGTAAATTTTGACCCATGTCTATATACGAATCTTGGGGTAAGATTTGGACATGATTTTCGACCAAAAAATCGGTGTCGAGATTTGAATGCCACATTATTCTAGAGGGAAAACCATGAAGAAAAAGCCAAACTTCGTGAAAATCGGATGAGATTTGGCCGAGATATGGGGGTGGTAAATTTTGACCTATGTCTATATACGAATCTTGGGATAAGATTTGGACATGATTTTCGACCAAAAAATCGGTGTCGAGATTTGAATGCCACATTATTCTAGAGTGAAAACCATGAAGAAAAAGCCAAACTTCGTGAAAATCGGATGAGATTTGGCCGAAATATGGGGGTGGTAAATTTTGACCTATGTCTATATACGAATCTTGGGATAAGATTTGGACATGATTTTCGACCAAAAAATCGGTGTCTAAATTTGAATGCCACATTATTCTAGAGGGAAAACCATGAAGAAAAAGCCAAACTTCGTGAAAATCGGATGAGATTTGGCCGAGATATGGGGGTGGTAAATTTTGACCCATGTCTATATACGAATCTTGGGGTAAGATTTGGACATGATTTTCGACCAAAAAATCGGTGTCGAGATTTGAATGCCACATTATTCTAGAGGGAAAACCATGAAGAAAAAGCGAAACTTCGTGAAAATCGGATGAGATTTGGCCGAGATATGGGGGTGGTAAATTTTGACCCATGTCTATATACGAATCTTGGGATAAGATTTGGACATGATTTTCGACCAAAAAATCGGTGTCGAGATTTGAATGCCACATTATTCTAGAGGGAAAACCATGAAGAAAAAGCCAAACTTCGTGAAAATCGGTAAATTTTGACCTATGTCTATATACGAATCTTGGGGTAAGGTTTGGACATGATTTTCGACCAAACAATCGGTGTCGAGATTTGAATTTGAATTAACCGGATTCATTTTAAATTTTGATCAAAACATCTTTGTGCAAATTCACACTTTTCGAAAAATTCACCCAACTGGGTGGAAAAGGTAATCAAATAAAATTGGTATTTTTTTCACGGAAGCAGAGAATGAAGTGGGAATTGCAAGTTAGCATAGGAAAATGGAAAAAGTCTCGCAATTGCGGGAAATAGGTGGAAAAGTTTTGGCTGAAAATCCATCTGCCTGCTTGTATATTCTTTTTGTGCGGATTATATATATTTTGTTATACCTTCTGCTTGAGCTCATCCAGCGTGCTTGCATAGATCTCTGTGGAGCCGACGCCGCGTTGTTTGCGCCTCAGCGTCCGCTTCAGGTGCTTCACCTTGCCGTGCAGCGTGCCGCGCACCAGTTGCGCGTCCTTCGAGCAGACGGCGATTGCGTTCAGTGCGCGTTGCCACACCCTGATCTCGCGCCGCAGCTCGGCCAGCTCCTTGGGCTCATTCAGACGCAGCTCGTCAATGTTGCGATAGTAGAGACGCAAATACGCGCAGCTTTGCAGCACCGCCAGCAGCACGCCGGGCAGCATGTGGGCCACAAAGGTCAGGAAATTGACGCCCTGCGAAGAAATGAAAAGTTTCAAGTGGGCTTAAATAGATGCGAGTGCAGAAATGCATGAGAAAGTTCTAAGGGAAAGACTGTGAGATTCTTCAAAATTTCTTTTTATAAATTTTAAGAAATACAAGTCGAAGTCTTGATGTAGCGGTTGTGCTTCCTCTTGCCTGAGCTCTATACTATGCTACGAGATATCCATGCTGGATTAACTCTTTCTATAGGTGTTATGTATTCTGACTTAACTCGAGTGCTTCTAGTCCGATCTTTATGAAATTTCTTGAACTTAAATATGGCAAACAAAAGTGTGTATATACCAAGACCCAAGGCTCTATCTTAAACAATGAGTTTTTTTAAATTCTTGAAAGAATGCAGAGAAGTATCCAAAAAGTGAATTATTTTCCACTTTAATATGACATTCGAGAATCTATAGACCGAATTTGGTGTATATAGCTGCCATAATTCTCGAGTTGCGCTTAGAAAACCTCGTCTCAAAATCGATATTTATCGATAATTTGAAAATGAGTGAAGATATCGCAATGAAATGAGATCGATATTTATCGATAATTTGAAAATGAGTGAAGATATCGTAATGAAATGATATCGAAATTTATCGATAATTTGAAAATGAGTGAAGATATCGCAATGAAATGATATCGATATTTATCGATAATTTGAAAATGAGTGAAGATATCGCAATGAAATGATATCGATATTTATCGATAATTTTAAAATGAGTGAAGATATCGCAATGAAATGATATCGATATTTATCGATAATTGGAAAATAAGTGAAGATATCGCAATGAAATGATATCGGGAGCATAAAAAACAGAAGTTTTAACTTACATTCTCGACGATAAAGTGATTTGTGCCGACGATAATGCTGATGGGATCTCCAATGGGGGTTAGGGCGCCGCCGATGTTCGCATGGACAATGATGCCCATGACGACGGGCAGGGGATCCAGCTGCATGACCTCACACAAACGTATGGCCACGGGTGTGAGTAGCAGCACGGTGGTCATGTTGTCGAGGACACTGGACACAAGGCAGGTGGCCAGGCAGAGGCTGTAGATCATGGGCCAGATCTTGCCGCCGGATATCTCGAAACAGACGACGGCCAGATAGTCAAAGACGCCCGTCTCGGTCAGAATGAGAATGAGCAGCATCATGCAGAAGACGAGCGTTAGCAGCTCCATGTCCATCCACTGTTTGATCTCCTCCATGTTGGGGCGATCCTGAAAGACGGCCAACGCGGTCACAGACAGCACGGCGCATATCATTGCCGCAAACGGACGATCCAGCTGCTCCCAGACGAGCAGCCCGTAGAACAGCAGCAGGATAATCCCGGCCAGAATGCTGCCCGTGCGATTGTTCACAATCAACGGATTGTAGCTCAGCTCCAGTGCCAACTCCTGCCCCGCATCGCTATAGATGTGCAGACGCATCTGGCTGGCGGTTTGGGCGAGCAGCTCCTGCAGCTCCGCGGTCAGCTGGAAGGTGTGATTGCGAGGCACGGCGGGCGCATGGAGCAGCTGCTCCTCGCTCACCAGGGTCAGCTGCCAGGGCGCCAAAATATCCTGGGGAGGATTGAGTGGAACAGCTAGAGGCAGGCTTTGGCTAGGTTTTGACTTACCTGGAATTCCTTGCTCCGATTGAGGCTAAGCTGCGGCTGCACAAATAAATGAGCTCGACTTGGCTCCGACTCCGTCTCCGTCTGCGTCTCGTTCGGCTCCTGGCCGAGCAGCTGGCTGGAGGAATCAAAGGCGCCGAGCAGCTTCAGCCGAAAGTCGCCCATGGGCTTTTGCTGCAGCTGAAAAACTAAAAGAGGGCGGGCTTTAGCTTACGGTTGAAGGAGCAGCTCCTGGCTGTCTACCTACATTTGCCGTGCTCGCCCTGCGGCACCTGGACAATCTTCTCCAGCAGCTGCTTCTCGCCGACGCTAATGAGGACGGCCGCGGCGAATAGCCAGCAGATCAGCAGGCCGCAGCGTTTCCAGAGCTTGTCGCGCTGCAGCTGCTCCTTGGAACGCTTCGATCTGTGATGTATGCGCCGGGCCAGAGCCTTGGCATTGCCGGGCCCGTTCGCCTGCGGCTGCTCCTGCTCCGAGTGCGTGGTGGTCACCTCGTCGTCTGTGCTCTCCACGCCGTTTTTCAGCTTGATGTCCAGATAATCGGAGCCCGCATAGCTGGAGGCGCGACCTCTGGACGGGTCCTCCTCCTCGCCGGCGTCCAGGTACGCCTCCTCCGGCTCGCTGTCGCCGCCGACCATGGAGCCTGAGTATATGAATAATGCATGAGCTATTTATTTTCGTTTTATTTGCCTACTTGACGAGGGTCAACTGCGTGTCAGGTGCGTGTCAAGTGCTTGTCAAGCGCTTGTCAATTTCTCGATTTGACAGCGTTTAATATTCGACAAATGCGTTGCCTGCTTTTCAGCTCAATCAAAGCAATTATAATAACAACATTTACTTTTATTGTTGAGAAAATAATAATCGAGATTTTGGGCTGAGTTGGGAAAAGTTATCGATAATTTTGAAATACTTTTTCTTGTTAAACAAACTGAGCTTGAGATAAAGTTTTATTTGAGGTAGAAATGCCAATCCCATTCAGAAAATTTCCTAGAAATAGGTCCTGAGTCATGTTTGTCCGACTAGTAGATACCCTGCAATCAGCTAGATTCGTTCTTAGAGCTAATTTGTAAGCTAAATCTGCTCTGCACTTGAGTGTCCGACTGGTAGATACCCTGCAGCTTCTAAACTTCGTTATACACATTCCAGCAAACATTCTTCTTCTTGTCGACATACTATACACACACACACACACACACACACCAGCCTTCTCCCCTTAAGTTATTTGTGCTTGCCTTCGTCCCATGGAAATGTCTACCCGAATAACTTGGCCGTTTATTGTCTGCTCTTCAGGGCATTAATATGGCAGCAAATTGCGTGTACATACCAAAGACCGAGACTATTTAAGCAACTATTTTTATTGTAGGGGGAAGGGAGTTAGGAGGCCAAACAGCGAATTATTGTGGATCTGTGTATGCCTAACGAGAGCCCACATACTAAATCTGGCATCTTGAGCTCTCGTTAGCTTCGAGATGTGCTCAAAACTCAGTTGATCGACGCAGATATTTATCGAAATTGTCTTTTATCGATAACGACTTTTATCAAAATCGACTTTATATATATTGATTTTCATGGTTAAAGCTTGTTAAATTGAAAACTGAGCCAATCGATAAAATATCGATGCAGATTTCAATCGTTATCGACTTTATGGCATCGTGGAGAGCTATCGTTAGTCTGCCGTTTTCTATCGATATGGACTGGTTTCGATATCGAATTTTATCGATATATGTTTCTATCGATTTTAGCTGATTTGATTGCATCGTGGCGAGTTATCGATAGGCCCAGTCCTTAGGGAGAATCTGAGATATGCTCAAAAAGCAGTTTATCGATGTAGATTTTTATCGATATTGACTTCTTTCGATACCAAATTTGATCAATAACGACTTAGCTTGATATCGATAACAACATATATCGATATTGGTCTTTATCAATATTGGTTTTTATTTGTATTGTTATCGATTTCGATTACTATCGATTTAATAGCAATGGGGTGAGTTCTTAATTGCGAAAACACGAAATTACTCAATTCCCTCTAGATAAAGGAGGTTTCTAATAGCTTCGTCGATTAGGCATAGCCGTCTTGAGTCTGGAGACTTGCAATATGAGCTATATATTAACCTTACGATACTTTGGCCACACCCAAAGGGTGAAAAAGTTATGTCTTGCCCAGTTTTATAGCTAGAGTCAACAAATTTCCCATGCAGACTCTGCTAGGTCGCCAAGTAGACAAGCAGAATAGATTTTGCGAACAGGGTATTGTGCAGTCGGTTACTCCCGACTACAACAGATTGGAGAGGTGCATCTTGAAGGTGCTTTTAGAGCAAGAGGATACCAAACGGGGCTCTTCTTTAGGCCGGGCAAGTGCTCATCTTTGTATATACCCTGTAAATGTAAACAGATGCGGCCATGCTCGACTTACCGTAAATGCGTTCGTTCTCCATTTGAAAGCTGGCCATGCTGGGATCATGTCGTATCTCGGCGGGCAGCGCGCGCCACACCTGCAGCGACTGCTCCGTGACCCCCGCAGCCTGCCCGGACCCGGGCTGAACGTCCAATTGATTCGATTTGCAGGGCATGCGACGCTGCAGCTCGATGTTGCAGCCGCCTGCGGCCGGGGGACGACGACGACCCAGACGACGCAGCATCTCGAGCAAACCCATGACCAGATCCGTATACAAGGGGGCAAATGTTTGACTGGAGCACTTCGAACTGGAGCTCGGACATGCGAGCGGCCCGCGACTCGAGTTGCGACTGATGCGCGTCGAGTCGAGCCGAGAGTTTGCGGCATTTGCTTGGCTTCGTCGTCGCTTTCAATATTGAATGTGTGCCCCTGCCACCACGGCCCGCCCACTTCCAGGATGGGGCCGGCGCCTGCGCCAGTTTTTCCATAGAATTCTTTCCATCTATTTTTTTTGTCGGCATTTCCGTGTTTTGGTCGCAGTTTCGCTTTCATCAACAAGTTTCCCTTTGTTATGGCTAGTTGCCATATTTATGGGGACGTGTCAGCAGCTCCTCTCCTCCTCTCGCTTCCCTAATTAAATCATTAATTCACAACTGATTTTTTTTGCGCTCGAAATTGCGCATACGACATGTGTGCACATTGTCTGTGCGGCGTTGGCACGTACCAAACGTGGGGTAGCTCAGACCCAAAACGTGTCGCAAAAAATTTGAAAAAAAATTCATACAAATCAAATAAAATTCCTAAAATAGTGTTTGGTGAATAAATGTCGCTCGCAAATCAGAACACTTCTGAGTTACAAAGTTTTTTTGGCCTGGTTAAGCTTCTGATTTATAAACTGGCTCAAATTGAGCTGCAGTCTTTAATTTGGGCATTTGTTACGTTCATTTGTCGTAATTTTTTATTTTTATAATTTTTATTAATGCATTATAAATCAAACTGAACTTGTCTTCATAGAAAATTGGGCCTGCTTTTCTATATCTCAATTTAATTACATTATACATTTTGATTATATATAAAATTGCTAATATACTATGCGGCATATACATACATGGCGCTGGCATACCCATTTTAGCCGTTTTATATTTTACAGGGTATAACAACTCCAACTCTTCAGTTCTAACCTCAATTGCCTTAGACATATTGGTTTTGAGCCTCGCTAAGCTGGCTCAGCAATGGCAAGCACCTACACTTGTTTGGAACTTGGCTAACAGATAATTGGCAAGCAATACTCATAAATAATATCTAGCAACATAATGGTGTAGAAACTTTGCTAGTGGTGTGAAACTGCGCTGCTAGCACGCTAAGCAAGTCAACGCACTATTCTATATGATGTGTATGTCAGATAAGAACAGTGCTTAGTTTCGTTTCGAACCTGTTGAGAGTTTTTTTAATTCGTATGCAAGCCAACTGACTTGAACTTAATGTCTGTCAGGGTATTTATTCTGCGCAGATAACGACATAGGCTGGCTGCAGTGTTTGCCAGAATGATGCTGTTCTTGGTGTGAAACCTTACTAATAAGTGGCTAACATGGTGAATGTGTATTCGAGTTGAAAATATAGGAGCAGTATTCACCTCGCTGGTTTTGCTTTTGGTGAAAAACTGCACTAAACGGCAGCTATCACATTCGAAGTCAATGTATAGAAGCAGTATTCACCACGATGGTATTGGTGCGTATATAGCTGTCTGAGGTGAACACAGTGAATCTTGTGTGGGGTGTGTGCATAGGGTAATAACTGTGGTAAATTTCGGAATAGATTTTTGCTGTTAAACAAAGCAGAGCTTATTAAAATTCGGATACCCCACATTAAGCCCCTGTTGTAAGTCTTAAATTGTTAATACAATAGATTTTATAAGATCTAGGGGAAAGTAAGCAAAAATTAAGTTTTTATTGTGTATTAAAAGTAAGCGTTCCCAAGCCGAGCATTGGTTCCCGATCCCCAAAGCAGACCTCCCTGGGATACAGTTGCCTTGCACCCAATATTTCAGCGCGCTTAAGGGCCATTCCATCAACTGGCTCCACTGAGGAGTCCACATGCCAATGGCGCCAGAGTCGATTACAAAACATAGACATTAAATGCAGAGGATGTGACACTAATTGCATTGATTTACCAGGCCCAATAGGCCAGACACAAGCTCAACCAGCCAGCCAGGCAGAAGGCAGGCAATTCAGGCGACAACTGATAAAAGTGGCTCTAGGAGAAGTGGGTCCACTCCAACATTGTCCCCTCCTTCCCTCCCTCCCTCCTTCCCTTCATCCCAAACTCCATTGAAACCCGTTCCGAGTCAACAAACTCCAGTTGCTGCTTCCATTGTACGTTTGTTGTTGCCCTTTTTCAATTATGCTAAATTATTGCCTAATGACATATTAATTTACGTGTGGGCGGATGTGGGCGTGGCTAATGTATTAGTACAAGTGTCCCGTTTCCAGGGAGTCTGAATTTAAGTTGATTTACAGTTGAAATGCCATCGCAGTTACAGTTTTACAGTCACTTTGCCCTTAAATATGTAGGCTAAATTTATAGTTCCTTTCGATATTTGCTTCGATTTAGAAAATATCGATAAATATCGATTTTCAGACAACGTTTTTAAGCACTTCTCGAAGACTTTAAGAGGTAGACGCAACAAATTTGGCAATTAGGTTCTCTATAGTATATACAGATGGAGAATATTTCGATATTTGCTTCGATTTAGAAAATATCGATAAATATCGATTTTCAGACAATGTTTTTTAAGCATTATTCGAGGAATTTAAGAGGTGGATACAACAAATTTGAAATGTAGGCTCTCGTATGGTATATACAGATGGAGAATATTTCGATATTTGCTACGATAAACAAAATATCGATAAATATCGATTTTCGGACAATGTTTTTTAAGCATTACTCGAAGACTTTAAGAGGTAGACACAACAAATTTGGCATGTAGGCTCTCGTATGGTATATACAGATGGAGTATATTTCGATATCTGCTACGATTAACAAAATATCGATAAATATCGATTTTCGGATAAGGTTTTTTAGCCATTACTCGAAGACTTAAAGAGCTATTTACACAAAATTTGGTATGTAGGTTCTCGTAAAGTATTTACAGCTAAAGAATATTTCACTTTTTTGATAACTACCCACATACCCTGTAAATGTTGGCAAAAGCTCATGCGCAAAGCAGGAGCCTCGCGCCTTGGTAATGTCAGCTTTAAGCGCCGTAAATTTCACAAAGATCAGTCCATAACGACCTGAGTTAATCAAGAACATATGGCCCGTATATGAACTGGATCAAAGCGAAACAGCAGCAGGGCTTCTGTGCAGGGTATCACTTAGTCGGACACTCTCCAGCATGCTTTAATTGGGCTTCAACATTTTAGTGTTTGTTTTGCAAATCGTTTCCAACGCATCCATCGTAATACCATCTGGCATATTTTCTCGGTTCTCAGTTCTTATTCTTACTCTTGTTGTTGTTGTTAAAATCTCTGGCTCATTTGGCTTTTAATTGGCCATTTAATGGCTGGCCTCGACGTCTGGCGAAATGAGTTTTCGCCCAGCTGTGTGCTTTCTGGCCAGGTCTTTGTCGATTTTCCGCGTCCAAACAATGTAACTGGCAGGTGGCGTCGCCTTTTGGCAATTACCTGGCGGGGCTTTTGTAGTCCTTGAGAGCGAGAGCATGCTTTCGGTCAAAGCATTTGCTTTTGGCCCAGCTCTAGGCAAATTGCGAGCTGCTGGGAAGTTGGGTGACTGAGGAAGGGAGGGGGGGGGGGGGGGGTGCCTTTTAGGCCCGGCCTCTTGGCGCACATATTGCATTTGGCTTAAAGGACATTTCCGGCTTTTGCCTGCGGCCTCTTTGAATGCATTTCTTGCTTCTATGCATTTTTTCCTCTACACAGACACACACACACACACACACACACACGCACACACACGCACACATTTTCCTACCACTTTTAATTAATCAGCCTGCCATCGACTTTGACGTTGGCAAACTCCAGTCAATATGCCATACCCAACTGCCAATAAGAGCTGCCCCCAACCCCCCTCTCTGTTTAGCTCCCCTCCCCTCCCACGAGTCCGCCCGAAGCAACGCCTCAACCCTCAGTTGCCTTTAAAGCCTTTAAGCCCTTTTCTAATTCAAGCTCATTTCCTCGCTTCTCTCTCTCGCTCTCGCTCTCTCTGCTTCTCTCTCATTTCCTCTGAACAGTTGCCTTTTCTGGCTTTTGTTTCTTTTCATTTCCTTTGACTATGCCATTTGCTGCCTTTTTGAGTGCTGTAGGTCATGACTTGGTAAGTTGGTTTTTCATGCATTGTTGAGAAATGCATTGCGAACAAATTTTACGAACAAGGTTGTCAGAGTATTGATTAAAACTCTTGCCTGTACTTTATGTAAGACACAACATACTTGAATTTGAAAACGAACTTTATTTAATTTAGGTAATTCAGAGAATTTGCTAATTGCACCAACATACCCAATCGTGACGTCACAAATCATTCTGAAACTCCTCTGCCATTGCGTTGTGACGTCAGCATTTCATATTTTTGCATTCCTCTTTGCACTCTCAAGAAAAATGTAATGCCGTTAATAATAAGCATCATGAATGCGCAGAGCTGTTGAGGGGGGGGTGGGGGCGTAATTCGGTACGTTCACTGCGCTCATGCCATTGGTCGCAGCGCTTTAGATGCCGTTATCTTCGAAACACGCCATGCGAATGGAGTGCAGTGCAGGAGCTTCGCTAGCTGTGCGCTCGCACTTGCACTTGTATTAGTGCGAATGCCGGCTGAGCACAGGCGCGAGCCTAATGAGCCGATTGCCGTCTTTAGTTTGTGCGCGTCTGCCCCGTCGATCGTTCGTGTGTTCGCTGCGCGCGCCTTGAAAATCGTAAAATCCTCTTTTAATTAGTTTATATTTGCTAAATTGTGTTCCATTAAATAGTGCGGTTCGTGTTGTGTGTGTTTGTTAATAATCGATCTACGTTGCATAACAAATAATCAAGAATTAATATCAGAAAAAATGCGTCGCATCGTTTTTGCTGCTGAGCTTTTTCAACAAAAATTGGCGCGCAATTAAGAGAGAGCGAAGGAGAGAGAGACTGAGAGAGAGCGTGGGAGAGCTTGGAAGTGCATAAAAGATGTTCTCAAGCAGGTAAGCGTGTTTTTGTATATATATATGACCTAATGCAAAGGGGTATATTGTTTCTGTGGGTCAGTTTGTTTTTTCGATGAAAATTAAATTAAAAAATTTGTTTAAAAATGTACAAAATTTAGAAA